GGGGAAACCCATAGTTAAAGGACAAAGCCAAAAGGAGGACTAAAACCAAGAATTAAAAACATATGAGGGGAAACAAGCGGGAGCAGGGTCTCGGGAGCCAAAGGAAGTGAGAATTTCAAAGGAGAGTGAATCAGTGTCAAGATAAGTAAGATAAAGAGTGAAAGGCACGCTCGGGTGGCGGGGGCCACCCATGGCCGGGGCCAGAGCAGCTGTGACGAAGTGTGGGGAGTGGAGGCTGCGACGGAGGAGCACGGGGGCGGGGTTGGGACGCGCCCACCCCTCGGAGCAGGCTGGCGCGCAGGGGCAGCCGGCGGCGCAGCTACCTGGGGGAAGGCAGGGCCCGTGTTCCCAGCTGTGAAGCAGCGCAAACCGAACGAAACGCGTTGGACAGAACCCACCTCTGCCGTTTTAATTCGTTGCTATTTGATATTTGATACCGGAGACCTGCAACAAGCTTTGGTTTCGTGTTCTAATCCATTTGCCTTTCTACTTCCCATTTCATGTACTATTTCCACAAGTGCATTCTCGCGCAGGAAAGCTGGAAGCGGGACACCTCCTACAGCAGCCCAGGCTGAGCACAGCGGGGCTCTCTTGCGGCCCCTCCCACTTTGAAAAGGCTCCCTGGGTCCACGGTTGACTTTTCTCAAGACGTGAAATTGGAGCTCGGTCCCTAAAGACACTTGAAACTTCCAATATCACCTTACATGTGTGTAGTCGTTTTTAGTTTCCAAATTATTTTTATAGCCATCGTTTCAACTTATTCTTACAATGACCCTGGGGGAGGAAAGGCAGATAATCCGACCCTCTTGTTAAAGATCCAAACAAACAAGGTGCCCAAGGTCACGTTCCTCCTCCTTCAGCTACCCTTACAGCTTAATTATCAGCTCCCAGGAAGATGGCTTAAGTCTTCATTTGCAAAGGTTGTAATTTCCTATCACATATCTCAATCATTGGTGGGGGGCAGGGAAGGGGGAGGGGGAGAGGGGAAGGGAGCACTCCAGTGGCGGAGGGAGCCTTACCGCCCCCCAGCATCGTGGTTCTAAGCGTGCTCCCCGGGGCGCTTGATTGGAAGGAAGACGCCTGGGCTTTCCCCAAAGCCAATGAAATCAAATGCTTCTAGACCGGACGCCGGACACTGTGATTTGTGAACGTTTCTGAGTGATTCTAACATGCAGACAGGCTGAGACCGACTGTACATAGTAAGTCGATGATGTCGTGAAAACCAAATTAATAAAAGGGCCCTTCCTTTTGGGGGTGTTTATGATTCACCACCACCTGCCAGGTTAGCAGATGCAAAATGTCTCCAATCCAGCAGCCTCAGCGGCCTTCCCCTCCTACCTGACCGCCGCTCACCGCGGCCTCCCTCGCCTCCCTGCCTGTTACACCAGCCCCCACACGCCCCGTTCTCCTCGTTTCCACCCCATGTTGCAGTCTCTCTGCAGAGCTGTCCGAGCTCTGTTAAAACTCCCTGCCACTCCCAGGCTGAAAGCCCTACAGCGCCTTCTCCCTCCAGCCCAACCTCATCTGGGCCCCGAGACCTCTGCTCACCCTCTCTTCTTCCTCTGTTCCAGCCTATGTTTGCTGTTCCCGCTGCCTGGACACTGTTCCCCAGATCTCTGCATGGCTGGCTCACCAGTCCCTTCCTTCAGGTCATGGCCCGATGGGACTTCCCGAGGAGATCTCTCCTAACCACCCTGTCCACAAGCGTCCACCTCACACACTTCTTGCTGGCCTCCATGTTTTCCCTCGGGCACCCGAAACCCTACTCTTTGTCTGTGCGTCCCTCTGACGGTCGGGGGGAGGCCAAGGCAGGGCGGAGAGGAGGCTGCAGCCCCAGCACAAGGCCTGTGCACAACAGGCCTGTCGTCAGCGTGTGTGGGTGAAAGAGGAAGCCCCCGGGAACCAACGGGCCACTGACCCCCAGCCCTGAGTGCTTGGGAAAGCACAGTGCGGTCACAAGGGCGGCCCTGAACACTGGCCGGTGGGAGGCAGGTAGGTCCCGGGCTGGTTTGGTGGCGGGTGGGGGGAGGCAAATGAGTCGGGGCCTCCGGGAATGTGCTTGTCAGGCCGGGCCTAAGCGTCCTCCATGCTGTGGCGTGAAGTCCACCTCTGAAGGTCTCAGCAGGGCTGGGCTGAGTGAGAGCTCCATTTGAGGAAAACCAGAGGGGACTGGCACCCCGTGGCGTTCCCGGCCAGGAGCCATCTGTTCGAACCCCTGGGGCAGCGGGCTGGACTTCGGACGGCCACCCCCACAGAACGGTGTTGAAGAGTTAGGCGAATCTGTGTGTATCATAAGGAGTGCCCTTCACTGCTATGAAGGCAGCATGTGTTACCTCTCAAAAGAATAATGACAAGGATTGGTTTGGTGTGTCACATGACCAGAATGGTTACCTCTCTGAGAGCGAGGGCCACAGTGGATCCTCTTCTAAGGACAAATGTCCCTTTTCTACAGGCTTCTGTGTCTCCAGTGAGGATGCATGGGACCCACTCAGCTGGCCCGCGGCCTGGCACCTGCTGTCCAATGCCACCCCGGACCATGCCAGTGCAGACAGACTGGGCCCCTCCCTGCTCCGCGCACGCCAGCCTCTCACACGTCTGCCCTCCTTGTGTCTGGCCTCGGGAAGTCACATCGGGCCGTGACCTGAAGGAAGGGACTGGTGAGCCAGCCGTGCAGAGATCTGGGGAACAGCGTCCAGGCAGCAGGAAGCCTATTGAAAAAGTGTGACGGCTTCAATAGAAAGGTCTTCCCTGGCGACCTATCAAAGTATCTCTCCCTTAGTGGTCCCTTGCATAATTTGTTGTTTCTTTCTTAACACTTACGACAGTGTGAAGCTGTTTTTTACACGTCCCTCATTAGAATGCAAGTTGCAGAGCAGGAAGTACGTCTGCCTTCTTCACTAACTGTGTGCCTAGCACCTGGCGCGAAATAGGTGCTCAGTTAAAAATGGCGGAAAAGCAAGCACCAGGGAGCAAAGAATATAATAGGAGAGCAGGAAAGCAAGACTGCAAATCTAAACGTCTCTATTCTAAGGTCCCAGAGGCATAGCTGTGCTGTGAAAAAATAGCCCTTGACGTATGTTTTCTATACCTGAAGGTATATTCTCTTAATGCAGTTGAAAATGAAAATGGTCCCTGCTACGCTGGCGAGCAAGGACGGCCGCACATAGACACCTTTACCGAGACTCGATTCCCACCACAGGGACACACATCCCTCCCAGGGAGAACTACAGCAAATGTGTGCACGACTGTTGGCGGACCTCCGCGTGCGGCCCTTCTCACCCGCGCAGGGCCGCGGTGGCCACCCGCTGCACGTGGGCGCACCCTGGAACTACCGCGCCATAGCCCTGCTCCTGTGAGCCATGTGTCGAGCTGAGCTCCGTGGCTTTACAACAAAATTTCGTTCCCCAACTCACCTGGTTCCCTACTCCCTTAGATAATGCAGCTGCACGTGCCTCCGACCCGCGGATCCTAATCCTGGAGGTGGCATCCCGGAGGCGTGGGGACAGCTGCCAAACAATAACGGATTTCCCTAGCTTTCCACAAAGACGGTGCTGGGGGCCCGCAGTGACCAGGCTGTAAGGCCGGCCAGCAGACGCCGCGCTTCCTCCCTGGCACGCCTCGCGGTGTCGGCGAGATGGGTGGCTGGCAGGAAGGGTGACGCCGGGGTCAGAAACCGGAGCCGTCCCGCGGTGCTGAGCCGGTGGCGCACGACCACCACACCAGTGGGCGCCCTGGCCATTGCCCACCCCCCCCCCCAGGCAAAATACAGGACACCCATTAACCTTGGATTCCAGGTAAACAATGAAGAATTTAGTGGTATAAGTAAGTCCCCAAACACTGCATGGGACTTATTATTATCATTTTTTTAAAGATTAAAAGAAGGCCTTGTTTCTGAGAAGGCCACCTGGGAAGGAGCGTTCTGCCCTTTCATTCACTGCGAATGGACCCAGCCCCACGGGGGCTTCCACTGCCCAAGAAAAGTCATTCCTAATTCTGCTGAGTCATGGCCAGCGAAATGGCCTTTAGTGTCTCGCATTTTTCTTCCAGGACACATCAGGGTCACTGCGGTCGACTTGTACTATGTGACCGCGGTTGGCAATGGCGTTCACGAAACAGAAACACTTCAGAAGCTGCAGATTTGGCACTCAGATCCTTTCCCCAAACCTGTGGCCTTTCTGAATGCTCACTTTCAACGGAAACCCTCTCTAAAAAAAAAAATCAATTAATGATGTAAATCGTTATTATTACTGACATAAACATGGCCCACGACAGCCCTTCCACAAAGCTAGAGGATATTTTAACAATCTCAACTACTCTTTAAAAAAAACAAACCTGTTTTCTATTATAAAAAGTAACCTAAAATAGCTCCATGTAACACAAGGGCAAAACCATCTGCCTGATCTCTCCAAAGAGCTCATATTTCTAGAGATTTTATCACTTTCCAACTGTTCCAACAAGTTCTGAAATTTTAGAAAGTCATGTGGACTTGGCAAATAAAACTCATCAAAATATTGAATTTAATCATTAATATTGCAATTATTTCATACTATTCCTTTACATTGCAGAAGACTCAAGTCAGACATGAGTCAAAGTAAATAAAGTGTAACCCTGCATTAACATTCATTACAAGCTTTTTTTAAAAATTTTAACAAGCTTGTGTTAAAATGTTTCTATCAATAGCTGATCGATAAAACCAAAATGCTGATGGTCTAGACATGAATATAGGAAAATACCCAGCACTCAAGGAAGAAAAACACAAAAGTGTGTCTCTGCAAATGTAATCCCTGGTGTGTGTTTGAAAAATAACTTTGAACCGATGGCAAATATTGCGGTCACTCGTCGGAAGTGACACAGAATTGGTTTGTAGTTAATCTTCATAAGAATAAAGAGTTCACTTTAGAAGGATTTAAATAAAAGAATATGAGTGCGTAAGTGTGATTGTACAACTTCATCCGTCGAAGAGCCAAAAAAAAAGAAAAAAGCAAACCAAGAACACCAACCTTTGCAGTGGCGCTCCGCCCTGGGCTCCAGAGGGCTCCGTTCAAGAGGGAAGCCGTGACGACTTCATAGGCTCCACCCTGGTCCTCCGCTGGCGCCTGCGGTGTGGCAGGTGTCAAGCTGCTTCCCAAGGTGGCCCCTGCATCAGAAAGAAAACAGCCCCGTTCTTCACCCTCATCAGGAAGAGTTTGGCATCGGAAGCTCAGAATATAAAGACTCAGTGAAACACCAGGAAGCGGGGTACACCTAAGGAAACACCACGTCTAGTAAATCATCCGAAGTGGTGAAACCGATGACGTCTCGGTCACTCTCACCATAAAAACTTTGTAACTTAAAGAAAACAAAAAAGCTAGAACTTTTCCTTCAAGACTCATGGCATGTGCCCAGTGATTATCAGAGTCAAAGTATAGGATTCTGTCTTTCACCAAGCAACACAAACGCACAGACAGGGACTTTTAAAATGACGAATTAATGCTTTGCTTAAGATTAAGATTAAGATTTCAGCTCTCTGTGAAAGGTGTCCAGGCCTCCGCTGTATTAAGAGACTTAACTCCGTTTCCTGAAGTCCCGGTGAATCAGTTCAACACAATGCCAACCCCGCTCCGGGCCTCCCGGAGGCTAATTTTATATGCCTCGGTGAGAGATTCCATAGACAAAATTAATTTGCCAGTTCAGACTGACTAGACTGGTTTATGAAAAAAAAATTAAGTCGTTCAATAAACGATTATATGATCTTGTTTCTGGGGGTCTGTCTGTCCCACCAGTTAATATACCGACACAGGTTCAGCTTCGCCCAATTTCCATAAACAATCCTAATGGAAAGTATAACATTTTTCTCTTCTGGAGAGTGTATCACTTTCCCAACAAATACAGTCATTTCTCTGGGCTTGCACGCCTATGAGGTCACACTCCTGCTATTCGGTGTGACCACAGGGCATCCCCCGAGGTGAAGGATGGGAGCAGAGCGCGTGTTATTCCCATTTCTTCAAGCAGGACGCCGACGTTTCAGACCTGAGTCATAATAGCGCAGTTTTAAGTTACTAAGGAGTTCATATTTATTGGGCACAAGTGGTATTGAAATTTTAATCCTAGACATTTTACAGTCCCCCAAACACTTTTAAATCCACACCATTTTATCATTCTCAATGTGGAAGTCTGCGGTTACAGTTAGGTTACAAAAGGATCGCTCCTCGCGTAGGTAGTCACTGTCTGACACGGCCTCTCTGGAAAATTCTCTGGCTGGTCGCAAAGCACTTAAGGCTCCAGGTGTGGAGAGTCAAGGGGATGGGGAATATGGGCTGTGGCAGAGGGGTGCGCTGGGCCCCTCAGCCGCGTGGGGAGGACAGGGAGCGGGACCTTGAGCACAGGTGAGCCGGGGCGGGGGGCATGTGGCGTTCCGGGCTGGGGGCGCTGAGTCTTTAGGGCCGAGCCTGTGTCCATCCGGGCAGGGGGAGGGCCCCGGCCGTGCCGCAGAAGGGCTGGCTCAGCTGGCGACCTCTGCACGCGTTGGCAGAGGGCTGGCCGGAGAAGAAAAGAATGGGCGGTCTCCACGGGGGACACCAGGAGCCCTCCTCCTGGCCGCGGAGGGGCAGCGCGCACAGCTGGGACAGGGAGCCTCGCCCAGCGGCTCGACCTTGTGCCCTTCCGCGGGCTCCAGGTAGGGCAGGGCCGCCATCAGCAGGGGCTTTGGGGGAGATGTCCCCCGGCATCAGTACCAACTGTACCACGTGACCACTGGGTCTGTGGTCTGGCGGTTCGCCTGCCTCTTTGTTCGTTCATTCTCTCCTTCACTCATTCAGCTCCACTTTTTAACGGCCTGCCTGGTGAAAGGGCTCCATTCAGAAAGCCCACTCTTTCCTCTTTGAGCCGTCGCTTCCTTGGGCCACCTGGAGCCTGTCCCCTCTGCCTGCTCCGGGGGGACCCTCCTCCCAGAAGACTCAGCTCGGGCTGTGCTGTGCTGCCCTCCTGACTGACAGTCTTGCACGGGGACAGCGTCACCTGGACAAATAAGACCGTTTTAGAGAGTGGTCTGGCTCTGAAACAGCAGGGCCTCACACAGGGACTGTCTGCCGTCCTTGCGACTCTTCCGGAAATCAGCACTGGTTCAAAACAGAGAGTCAATGAAATGAGGGGACGGCGGCGTAGCAGGGAAGCCACCCGATGGACGGGCTGGCGAAGGCCTGTGTTTTGTGGGGGCGGGGCCCCATCCGGCCACACGCACAGGGAGCCGCGGGAAGAACGCACCTGCAGAGGGACAGCAAGGGCTGCCCTTTGTCACAGAAGGAGACAGAGCTTGAGGAGGCCCGAGGTAGGAAACCCACTGAAGCCTGAAGGCAGCCGGCCGGCTGGTGCCATCGGCATTGCTCCGCAGGCTCTGCCGGCACTCGGGCCTCTGGCTCAGGACCCTCGGGGAGATGCTTATGTTGGAATTTGCTGGAACAAAGTCACTTCTGATCCAGTGGTACAGCCCCAGCGAAGCCTGACTACAGAGTGCAATTAGGCAAATATCTTAAGAGAGAGCTGCTGCTGTACGTGAATTGGATTAAGAAGGCTTTGAAATACAAGCAATTAGAGAGAAAAGACTGGAGATCAGTTTGAACTTTCCCCTCCGTCAATGAAACATATGCCCTGTGCCAAGAGCTATCACAGCCATTATTTCAATCTTTTGAAAAGTCAGGTAAAACTGTTAAAGTGCTTGCAAGCATTTTAAAATTTCCTCTCGGTAAGCAAACTGACTTGACCGTAAGCTCCCACAGAAGCAAACTGTTAAACTGGCTAGTCTATCACAAATCCGATGGCCCAGGTGCCCACTGAATGGGACGGAGGGGAACTCGCGACCTGGCATCCCCTCTCCCTACTCTCCTGCCCCCAGCGGGGAGGCCAGGCAAGCTTCTGCGGGAATTTTAGCCGCAGTGCGCAAGGGCCCGCAAGCCCTCCCCGCTCTCAGATACTTGCAGCAAAAGTCTTTGCATTTAATAGATTCTGCAGAGAAGCTGTATGTATGTCTTAGAAGGAAAGAGCTGGTGCCACAAGCCCCCGGTCTCCTGGGCAGCCCCTGAGATGCTGTGCCCACAGGGGAGCTGGGAGAGGCGGCAACGCCACACCCTTGACTTTGTGGAACCCAGAGGGCCTTCCAAGGGCCTCCCGGGAGGTAATCAGGCTGAAGCCGGATGCGCACAGTCCTCGGGCGCTTTTTCCTCCAAGACTCTTAGTGAATAACTGTGTCCTTCTCTGTTAGGAAGGCAAAAGGTTCCAACCCTTTTCACCTACATATTCCAGCATTTTAATCCAAAACAAGCCCTTTTGGGCTGAACCTTTTCCTTCCAAGAAGCTTTATTTCCAAATATTCCAGGGAGAATAGACTGTGCCAGCACTTGTAGAAGGTTGTGCAACCTCCTCAAGAAACTGAGTCACTGTGCTCTTAGCTGAGCACGGCGTTTGCTCCCTACGCGCACGGTTAATGAAGCCATTGCTCAGCTTCTTAATTGGTTGCACGATAGTTCCCCAGCAGAATGTGCAGTCAGAAGGCTGATGCTTATGAGATTTTCTTATGTATTTACACACCGGTATTCCTTTTAGATGATACAAATAAAAGTTTTATTTGTGCAGCATGGATAGACAGAATAAATTATACACAGCTGTGAGGTATCAGAATGTACTTTATGGAGTGGTCTTGTTGACAAACCATAAAAGCAGGTCTTGAACGATGCAAACATTCAAGCCGTAGAAGCCCAGGGGAAAAAATTATACAAGCTTATGAAACAGAGAGTTTGCATTACATTTTTGTTTCTCGTAATATTTCAGCATCAACAAAACTCAGTTGCCTAAATACAAAATTTCAATAGCTGATATCAGGGAGAAACTTATGGCTGGTTTTGCTGCTGGGCAACCTGACACACTGCTGATGTTTTGATAAAACGGCCGGTTGGCTTCCGTCCCAAAGGGGAAAGAAGCGTATCCGGTATTCTGGGTCCTCATGCAATTATCTTCTCTAACGATCAGCCCTGCTCCCTCTGGGGTGCGTGTGTGCCTACTGTGCTGTCTCCTTGTCTGAGCTTGTCATCTGCAGACCTAGGACGTCCAGTCAAGCAGGAAGTCACGGAGCCAGTGGGATCTTTGCAGCAATGACCCCTAAGGTGTTGAAAAAGCCAGCAATGAAGGAACTGCCCCAAAGTGACTCCTGATCTTCCCAGGTGAGCCACCCAGAGCCCGGCTGCCACCTCAGCCCTGCTCCATCCCTGCTCTGGCCACGCCTCCTTTGCCCATCTTGCCAAGGCAGGTGTGGACCCCCCTGGTGCCCACCCATGGGCTCCGAAGTAGCAAACCGGGGGTTCCCTGGAGCCACGCCCCTGGCCCTGGTCCTGCCCCCGCTCTGACGCCTTGTCTCAGAGTGTGGATCTGAGGGTCTGCTCTCTACAGAACGGAAGAGTGTTCTGTCCCCTCGTGATTCTTACTGGGCTAACCCGGCTCAAACAAGTCAATGTAGTCAAAGGGTTTTCAAAGATCTTAAATGTGGGAAATCAGCCTCGGTATCAGAATCCAAGTTTCCAGACTTCTACCCAGGGTTTGTCTCGCCAAACCACACTCATGGTGTGAAAATGCCAGCCGCATACCAACCAAAAAATGCCTGGGTTCAGGTGCAGGTGGGTACCCACTAAAGGCACCCCAGGGGTCCCTGGGGAAACAGAAGTCACAGGATGAACCTGAGTCTCACACTCAGAGTTCTGCCTTTAGATAGAAATCATTCCAAGCACCTACATGCATGTAGGAGAGGAGAATCCATCTAAGCAGTCAAGAGCAGAATTAAGATAAATAGTCTTTTCAAAATCTAGCATAGGGAGGGCTGAGCGAGGTAGCCATTCGGAGCTGCAGAAGAAGCTGGAAGCTCATCAAGCATTTTCCCTAAGCCCCAGTATCCGGGAGCTAAAGGAGCTCTTACAGACCTGGCTGCGCTGCATCTCCTTTCAGGGAAATACGGTAGCAATGCTCCCATATGGACAAAAGGAGCAATGGCTCCTTCTGTTTGGAGTCATTGTCCGCAGTCTTAACCCAAAAACAATGCCACCCTTTCCTCTCGTCTCTCCCTGGGTGGAAATGAGGGGTGAGATTTTATAATGACATAGCTCAGGGTGCTCAAAG